ATGAAAAAGGAGGGGAAAGGATTTTAATGGTCTTAAAGCATTGTGTGAGCATGTCGGTATGTCTATGGTGTGGTGGTCAAGAGTGTTTAATTAGTACCTGGGAGACCTGCATTTGAATGCCACACTGCTGGGGAAGCTTGCTGGGTGACCTTGGGGCCAGTCAAACACTGTCAGCCTAGCCTACCTCACAAGGTAGCTCACAGGGTTGTTAGAATAAAGACGGGTAGCCATGTCCGTAGCAGCAGAAAAGGGCAAATGGGGCTCAATGTGGCCAAGTGCAAGGTGATGCACACTGGAGCCAAAAATCCTAAATATAAATACACATTGATGGGGTCTGAACTGGCAGAGGCTGAACAAGAGAGAGATCTTGGAGTCATAGTAGATAACTCACTGAAAATGTCGAGACAGTGTGTGACTGCAATAAAGAAGGCCAATGCTATGCTGGGGATTATTAGGAAGGGTATTGAAAACAGATCAGCCAATATCATAATTCCGCTATATAAATCAATGGTGCGACCTCATCTGGAATACTGTGTGCAATTCTGGTCACCACACCTTCAAAAGAATATTATAGCTTTGGAAAAAGTGCAGAAAAGGACAACTCGAATGATAAAAGGGTTGGAACACTTTCCCTATGAGGAAAGGTTAAGGCGCTTAGGGCTCTTTAGCTTGGAGAAAAGACGACTGAGGGGTGACATGATTGAGGGTTTATAAGATTATGCATGGGAAAGAGCAGGTAGAGAAAGAGGTACTTTTCTCCCTTTCTCACAATACAAGAACTCGTGGGCACTCCATGAAATTGCTGAGTGGTCGGGTTAGAATGGAAAAAAGGAAGTCCTTCTTCACCCAAAGAGTGAGGTGGTGGCGGCTACAAGCATGGACACTGCTGGACCTCCTGATGGCACCTGGTATTTTTGGCCCCTGTGGGACCAGTGTTGGACTGGATGGGCCATTGGCCGGATCCAACATTGGCGTCTCTTATGTTCTTATGTCCAGGAGCACCTTAAAAATTAACAAAATTTGTGGCAGGGGAGGAGTTTTTCTGAGTCACCGCTCACTTCTTCAGATACCTCACTAGAGCTCCTCCCCTGCCACAAATTGTATTCGTGTTTTAAGGTGCTCCTGGACTCTTGCTCTTTTCTGCTGCTCCAGACAGACTGACATGGCTACCCGTCAAGATGAACTAGGGAAGCAAACGCCTGAGATAATTTCTCCCCCCCACCACCACCTGTGTACACATATTTATTTATTTATAATTTATACCCCGCCTTGCTGGTTAAAAAAAAAAATGCCAAATCGTATTCCAAT